CAATGCTAAAAGAAAATAAAATATCATGTTTTAAATACCTATAAAGACTAAACCAGAATAATGTTGAACTCTTCACTTTAACAGGATATAAAGCCTTAGAGTTAAGAAGTTTATCTAAATTTCACTGAATGTAATTTAAGTCTTAGCTTGTCTATTTCCATCAGAGAAAACAGAAAGTATTTCTTTACCCAAATATGTATTCTTAAGGTAAATTAGGAGAGTTTTACTTTCAATTGTTCTTACCCCATAAATAATTTTAATCATCCTAGTTTCTCATCAAAGATTCTCTTTGGTAACTCTTCAAAATATCTCCTGTCTCTGTGACAATTAAAATGTTCCATGAAGTTCACCTGAATTAGGGGTCTTGAACTATATACATTAAACCATTTTTTCAAAAAGTCAGAAAGCTACACCTACTCTTCTTGGCATTTAAGATATATAGTGCCTCTGCTATCAGTGCATGTAAGAGACACACAGGGAATGGAAGAAACAGGATCCCACACCTGACAAATTAGAAAGATCAAATCTAGTAAAATGAATTTAGTAAGAATTAATTCCTCTATTTGTAAGGCCTAAAGCCCTTGCAGCTGCTGCCATGGAAGCTAATGGGAAACCACTTGGACTTAAGGAAAAGAAATCTCTGGGAGGCACATGAAAAGTCAGAGAAGCTGAGAGGAGCTGAAGTTGGAGGAAGACCTCTAGATCTGATCACACCGTGCCTCAACTTCTAAAACTTAAATACCACAAGCCCAAGGCGGGGAAGCTATTACTTAGCAGAAGACTTTGTGGAAAGACCTGGACTTTTTAGTAATTTTGTTTTTGTTTTGTTCTTGATGACTTTAAATTCAGTAGCAGTCCACAGTGTGATTCAGACAGCAGATAAACTAACACAATCCTGGAATGCATTAGCAGAAGCATAGTATTCAGATTAAAGGCATTGTCTCACTAAACTCTGTACTGATCAGACCACAACCTATTATAGTATGTTCATTAGCGGATGCCACAATTTCAGAGAGAAAGGAATAAATGGACAACAGTTCAGAAAAAAAAGGATAAGAATGATGAAGATAGAATAAGAGTATCATATGAAATAATCCAAGACATCAAACCTGGAGAAGAAAACACCAGTAGGTGAGATAGAATGTAAAGATAAGACACAAAACAGTTTTCAAAATTAAAGAAGAACCATAAAGAAGAGGGGTTAAAAACTGTTCTTTATAGTATTTTGGAATAAAATCAGGCAGGTGTGTAGAAGCTCTAGGGAGACAGACAGCTGCTGGTTCGGTGGAATCAAGAAATTTCTAATAGTCTGAGACAAAGATGGAGTGGTCTATTTCATGAGTTAATATGTTTCTCATTAGTATAGGTGAGTAAGCAAAGGAAGGTGAAATGACAGATAGGAATTTTATAATGCAGGTAAATGCATTAGAAAGATAACTAGACTATCAAGTCTTCCAAGTTGTCCCAAATCTTGAAAAAACTGATTACTTTTAGAACTTGAGTATCAAGGGCAAATACATATTTTATTATGTTACTACTTTCTTCTCTAATAGAAAAGTAAACGTACTCCTACTTGCATGTTGACATCATCAAATATTCACCAAATATATCTAAACACAGAATCTTCACTTCTCAAAATTTAAATATCTAAGCCTGAAAATCCCAATGATGACAAATACTAAAAAGGGCATTCAAGTCACAATTACAAAAAGCCAAAAAACCAATCAAACTTTAAAATTCAGGTGCCATAAATAAATATTTACCTTATTCATATAATAAAAAACTGCATTTCTAAATTTATGGATTTCGGTGAGTCATTAGGTTGGAAACAATAATTATTTAGTCCAACAAGATGTATTTTAAAAGATTAAATATTAAAAGAAGTTTCAAGAAAAAATAGAACATTTGAAAGAACAAAAAGTTAATACAGGCTTCCTACTATTATTCGTTTATTTTAAGCTCAGCATTATATTATTGACTTATATATAATTTATCTTCAGAAAATTTATGCAATAAAGATATTTAAGATTTCTAAGAGCTTACAAGGACAGATCAATGGTCAGTAAACTTCTTCTGTAAAGGTCTAAATGACAAATAACTTAGGATTCACAGTCCATGACTCTACTGTAACTATTCTACTACAGTAGTGTAAACACAGTCATAGAAAATACATTAACAAATTAATGTGACTATATTCCAATAAAGCTTTATTTATGGGCATCGAAATTTGAATTTCATAAGATTTTCCAAGTCACAAAATATTATCCTTCTTGGGATTTTCTTCAACTATTTAAATATGTAAAAACCATTCTTAGATAATGAAATGTACAAAAACAAGCGGTGGGCCAGACTTGGCCCACAGGCCATAGTCTGCTGATCCTCAGCATAGATAGTTTTTATCTTATCAACATCCAAATAAGATATGACTCATATATATGTGCATACAACCTCTGACCAACTTCTCTTCTCTCATCTCTCCTAATCGCCCATCTCCAAAGCTGAAACCCTTAAAACTGCTGCCACAGCAGAAACAGTGCAAACACTTAGAGCTTTAAAAACAAACACATACTCACACAAACATCCAGAAACAATAAGAAAACTACTTCGGAGAGTCCTGTAAAATAATGGTAATGCTGAAATTGGAAGGTGACCTTGGAGGGAGCCTCCCAGATCTGACCACACAGCAGCTCACCTTTTTACCCCCCAAAGACTCTCCACAACACTGTGATAAACAATATTAAAGATTAATAAGCATCCTTTCCTTAAGCACTTACAGGAAAGTAAAGAATTATGATTCACTGAAACTTAGTGCCTGTTAGGTCAAGCAACTTGCTTTTAAGTTGACCTAGCTGAGAACAGCAATATTAGAACAGGACTTACAACTAGGAAGGGGAGAGAAAAAAGTCATCCACAAACATATTTGTAATCTTCTAAAGGTATTTTTGGAACACAATTCATTTGAAAATTGGAAGCTACATATATATAGTTTCTCATTTGCAGACATTTCTAAAGAAGATAATTAAATTTTTTCCATGTTACAAAGATATCCACAAAAACAACTTTTAATTTGCAATATTTAACCCATCAAGCATATTTCCTCTTTCAGAAAAACCAGAAGGAAAATCAATGCCAGTTTATTCACTCCATTGACGTTAAATATACTAAATTAGAAAATAATTCTGAACCCTAAATCATTTAAAGACGTCTACATAAGTTCCAAAATTTTCCCCAATTGAGCAATCTTTTCATAGATGGCTTAGAGCAGAATTTTTTAAATTCTCATGAGAATTTACTATTTCAAGAAAATGAGGTTTACAGACTCAGGATAATAGTTATAATAATTATTATTGAGAGTCTATGAGCCTATTACATGCTAGTCATCACTACTAAAGTAACCAAAGGAACTAAATTCAAAAATATTCACAAAATTAAACTATTTTGAGGCTTGTATAACACCTGAGAAAGAAGATATGACCATTTCTTCCTTAATATTCAACACAAATGCATGAAATGTCACGGACTGGACACTGTACTCTTCTAAAGGGGCCATACAAGCAACAGCCTAACAAAGAACAATAAAACTCCTAGAGTTTGGGCATTTAACTATTATTTGGGTATCAACAATAATTTAGTTGTTTGCTGTTCCAAAGTCTCCTGATGCTAAGGAAATCCAGACTATCATCAACCTAAAGATGTGTGTATGAGACATCACCCAATCTCATTATTCTCATTATTCTTCATCTGTCCTTCACATCCTGTCATTCTTATGCAAAATGGATACCTGAGGATGCAAGTTATCTTCACTCATCTATGAACTGGAGGGGGAGGGAGGCTAAAGGTCTAGGGAAACTTCGAGACACCACCAGTGACCACAAACTAATATTTGCCTTAGAAGCAGACGCTATTTTCGTTAACAACAAATATTATTGGCAAGGAAGAAATGCAGAAAAACAATGCAAAATATTTGAACTGTAAAAAAAAAACCACTTCCATTCCTTCAATCTTCTACCTTTGGAGACAAGTTCTGCCCAAAATCTGGTTAAGCATTTCCTCCAAGAGATCCACTGACTAAAGTATCCTAAAGAGACTGGAAGTCATCTACCATTACCTTGGAGGTTCTGCCTTATTCTAAGATGAGCTTGAAAAAAAGGCCCAAAACCTTGGAACGGCCCAAGAATAACATCTAATCTCTAGGTTTACCTTAAAAATTTCTCAAGGTCTTTTGTACAAGGTGTAGGTAAAAACTAGGATAAATTACACCTTACTGTGAAATATAACAGTTGGGGTTAAATTTGGCCTTACAGAGAGAAAAGTAAGCAAAACAGATTATAAATCAACAATCCCACCATATTATATAACAGACTTACAAAGTGTTACAAATATAAAGAACATAAAAAAATGCATCCTTTAAAAAATGAGTTTAAATTCATGTATCCTTTTCTATTTTGAGAGAGATTACATACATAACTTGAAGAAAGACATATCTGGACAAGGCACGGCAGAGAAATTTAATTTAATATAGCCTAAGTAACTTCTTAGAGAAATAAAATCCACTGTCAGTTTTCTTCTACTTACTCTGACAACAACTGCTAGGCCAGGACTTATCAAAAGTTGTTGATGATAACGTGAATCTAATAAGTATTAAATAGCCAGAAATTTACCTTAATGTGAATGAAAATGTTAAAAACTTCTCAAAAATAAATCAGATGAAACAAAAATCTCAAAACTTCAACTCTCTAGGGAAATACTGATGCAACAATGGGGTAGGGGAAATGCAATGGACTACAAAATAGTTTCATTAATACCAAACCATAAGCAATAAAAACATAGACAAAAGCTTTTCTCTGTTCTTTTCATTTCCTTTAGTTTAAGATCATTCAGTATCCTCTAAATGCTAAACTGATTAGAAAGTAACTTGAAAAGAACAAAGCAAAACAACTTGACATAATCAAGTGATCCAGTTCTTGATTTTACAATGCCCACACTGCTTTCTTTCTTACCTTGTCTATCCTATCTGGGCGGTTAGTGGCTGCCAAAATGGTCACGTCCTTTAACTGTTCAATGCCATCCATTTCAGTTAAGAGCTGAGCCAAAACACGATCAGCTACATTCCCAGCACCTGAAGAACTGATTTTTAAAAATATACTTTAACAATCTGTTTAGCTATTTGCAAATACTCTATTACTTTCAAAAGAATGTCCAGTCTATGAGAAAAAAAAATTGTTTCAAAATATAAAATACATGCTTCAGGATTCACTGCTTGTTGAATTATTATACCCAAAAACTAACTATATTCAAATCATTTCTTTTCCTCCATCATCAACCATGTTCATTTTCTCTCCAGTAATAAACTGGTAAGTAAATATTACATATAAAAGATCTGGGAAGCAAGATACCAGATTATTTAAAATAGTTCATCAATAAATAATTACTTAATTTAATCAATATTTGCATTCTAAATGGTAAATATACTGTCAGCAATAGGGGATAAAAAAACTGAGTAAGATACAAACCCACTCCTCACGTGAAGCTTAGAGCCTATGTAAAATAAAAAACTCCTTACACACCCATAACAAATGCAATTATTTCTGATGTATTTTGATATTTTCTAATATTAAGAATTTTTTTAAGCATGTCAGCAGGTAGGTAGTCACCATAATCCCCATATATGGAAAAATAGGCAAAGAAAGTATGTTATTTTGTTCCTTTTGTTCATGTACCAGGTTAATTACAAAGCTACTACTGGACATAATACACTTTAATTTAATCCCATTTCCTTTTACCACAAAAAAAAAATGAATATCGATTTTTAAGAAGTAAATTCAACAGGTCTTACTAATTAACAAAACCCTAAATTACACAATCAAGGCCACACAATAACAATTCTCATTAGCACTAGATGAAACTTAGTAGGAGCTGTTTAGAATTGAGAAATATATAAAAAAAATCTATGTGGATGATTATACAGTGAAGTAGCATTCTAAGTGTATTAAACAGCTCAACGCAATCAGATGTACTTGGGGGGAATGGAGAAGAGGGAAAGAGAACAGAAGGGACACATCCTATACTTTTGTCTTAGCACCCGTGACACAAGTGCACCTTAGTACAATCACTGTGTAATATCTTTAAAAATAAGGTAGGAGGGACCAGTCTGGTGGCGCAGTGGTTAAGTTCGCACGTTTCGCTTCTCGGCGGCCTGGGGTTCGCCAGTTCGGATCCCAGGTGCGGACATGGCACCGCTTGGCAAAAGCCATGCTGTGGTAGGCATCCCACGTATAAAGTAGAGGAAGATGGGCATGGATGTTAGCTCAGGGCCAGTCTTCCTTAGCAAAAAGAGGAGGATTGGCAGTAGTTAGCTCAGGGATAATCTTCCTCAAAAAAGAAAATAAGGTAGGAGGCTGGCCCAGTGACATAGTGGTTAAGTTTGGGTGCTCCACTTTGGTGGCCCAGGGTTCACAGGTTTGGATCCCAGGCATGGACCTGGCACTGCTCATCAAGCCATACTGTGGCGGTATCCCACACAAAATAGAGAACGACTGGCACAGATGTTAGCTCAGGGACAATCTTCCTCACACACACACACAAAAGGTAATTAGGATCTCCAAATAACAGAATTTAGATCTCAACATGCATTACAAGTTCAAAAACTTGACTCAGTGTATACACAGGAGAGTGGCCTCTAACTCACACTAATCAAACACACATGAGGTTATTATATAAATCACAGTCAATTCATTAAGTTAAATAAATGGTCCTTTCCAATGTCTAAAAAGTTTGGGATCAAAAAGTACCTGGAAAGCCACTGAGATTTGTTTTAGTTGGCAGTAATTCCTGCAAGTAACTAATCAGCAGGTGCACAGATTTGCTGATTTGACTACTTAAGCATAAACTGAACATTTTGAATAAATGGATTACATATCCTTCAAAAGATCCTCCATAATATAACTTTTCCACATGAGAGTTTAACTGTCAGATAGGAACACTGTTAGCAAAAGCTCTAAGGGCGCCTTCAAAATGGCCACAAGTATATAAATATTTAAGGCTGCCAAAAGATTACATCTTTAATTGTATCTACTCTGCTAATTAGTTGTGATCCTGCACAACAAAGGAAGATCACATGAACAGGTCTTTGGAGAGTCAAGGTGGACTGCCCAAGGGAGATGGTTTCTAACCTACGACCTGAAAAATGAGTGGGGACCAGACAGGTAAAGGGAAAGAAGAAGAAGAGAGAGAAAACAGAACAATGAAAATGGAAAACAGTTCAAATAGCTCAGCATGGCAGTAAGGTGGAAATTTAAGATTAGTACAGAAAGATAAACCAAGGCTGGATAACAAAGGCTTCGTTACCCAAATTGCTGTGTTTGGATTTTATCTTAAACTTAATGGGAAATCTCAAGTAGAGACATGACAAAATCAGCTTTATGTTTTTGAGGACCACTATGGCTACAGTGTGGAGAACAGGTTAAAAAAGGGCAATACCGGTCTGTTCTCCAGTCCAGCATGTAGGGATCTTGGAAGTCTTAATTCCCTCCTAACAAGTAAAAAGCTGAACAAACTGAAAAATTAACAACTCTTCTTAGATTCCTCAGAAATGTGAGATTAGAGATATCTTAATTGGTTCAGGCTGCTGTAACAAAATACCACAACTTGGGTGGTTTATGAACAATAGAAATTTATATTTCTCATTGTCTAGAGGCTGGGAAGTCCAAGATCAAGGTGCCAGCATGGTTGGGTAAGAGCCCTTTTTCTGGTTCATAACCAATACCTTTCTCACATGGTGGAAAAGGGCAAGCAAGCTCTCTGGGGCCTCTCTCATAAAGACACAAATCCCACTCATGAGAGCCTCACCCTTACGACCTAAGCACCTCCCAGAGGCCCCACATCTTAGGATTTCATCATATGAATTTTGGGAGGAAACATTCAGGCTATAGCAACAAGGCAAACCATTGCTCCCAAAATTGGAGAGACAGGCTGGATACAGAGAAACCAATGAGCAGAAACCTCCATGGGAACCAGTGCCGGGGTAGGGAAATCTGAAACATAACTGATGAATTGCTGGAGGCTCAATGTGGAAAAGTCTGAGAGTTAAATACTCCAGGAAGAGCCAATCATAGGGAAATCATCACATTTTTGTGAGCTTAAGCTCCAGAAGCTATACCAGGTTCTTACAGGAAAGATGTAAGGAAAATCTCCTTATACTTCCAGCAGGAGAAGGGGGAAAGTACCATTTTGAACATGCCAGAACATTCTGTACTTCTTAACAAGTCCTGCCTTCAAGAGAAACTATTTTACCAGAACCAAAACTATTAGGATTTTATCAGAGCCCAGTTGAATTGGAGGAAGGAAAATACCCAACTCTAGCCCTTACTAGCCATCTTGTTCCACTCTAAGGAAGGGGGAGTTACTGAAAAGCAATTGTGAAGTTCACAGTCCAGCAACACAGACTCACTAAAAGAATGCAACTTAATCATAGGACCATAGAATACTTCTCCTCCCAACAACACCTTAATACTACATTACTAAAGGCCTATTTACAACAGTTCATTTTACCTAGTACATCGTGTCCGTCTATCAGGAAAAACCACAAGACATACTAAAAGGCAAAGAAAAAACACAATTTGAAGAAACTGAGCAAACACTAGAACCAGAGAATGAGCAGGAATGTTGCAATTATCAAACCAGGAATTTTTTTTTTAAACTACGATTAATATGCTAAGGGTTCTAATGGACAAAGCAGACAACATACAAGAAAGGGACAATGTAAGCCTAGAAATGGAAATTCTAAGACTCATAAAGAAGTGCTAGAAATCAAAACACTTACAGAAATAAAGAATGCTGTTGATGGGCTCATTAGTAGACTAGACATGGCTGAGGGAAGAATTTCTGAGTTTAAGTATATGGCAATAGAAACTTCCAAAATTGAAAAGCAAAGAGAACAAAAGACTTAGAAAAAAAAAAGAAACAAAAGACTATTCAAGAACTGTGGACAACTACAAAAGGAGTAATAAATGTGTAACTAAAATACCCAAAGGAGAAGAAAGAGAGTAGGATAGAAGAAATATTTGAAGCACTAATGACAGAACTTCCCCAAATTAATGTCTGACACCAAACCACAGATCCAGGAAGCCCAGAGAACATAAAGTAGGATAAATGCCAAAAAAACTACACCTAGGCATATTATTTTCAAACCACAGAAAGTCAAAGACAAAGAAAAAATCTTCGAAGAAGCCAGAGGATAAAAACACTTTACCTTAGAGGAGCAAAGATAAGAATTATATTGGGTGACTCCTCAGAAACCATGTAAGCAAGGAGACTAGAGTGAAATATTTGAAGTGCTGAGAGAGAAAAACCACCAGCCTAGATTTCTTTATCCAGTGAAATTATCTTTCAAAAGTGATGAAGAAATAAAGACTTTCTCAAAAAAAATTGAGGGAATGTGTTGCTAGTAGACCTGTCTTGCAAGAAGTGTTAAAAGAAGTTCTTCCAAGAAAAGGAAAATGATCTAGGTTAAAATGCAAATCTATGTAAAGAAAGGAAGAATATTAGAGAAGGAATAAGTGAAGATAAAATAAAAACTTTAATTTTCTTATTCTTAATTGATCTAACAGATTACAGTTTGTCCATAATAATAATAACAACAATCACAGAAATGATACAAGGAACTAGAGGGAGGAATTCAAATATTCTGTATTCTAAAGTACTCACACTACCTATGAATAGTGCTATTTTGAAAGTAGATGTAGATTAGTTGTAAATGTATATTGCAAATTCTAGGGCAACCACTGAAAAAAGTATTTAAAAAAGTATAATTCATATACTAAGAAAGAAGAGAAAAGTGGAATGACACAAAATGCTTGATTAAAACAAAAAAAGGCAGAAGAAGAGTGAAAGACAAAAACAGGAAAAAAGAACAGAGCCAACAAATAGAAAACAATAATAAATATGATAGTATTATCTAACTATATCACAATAATCACATTAAACATTAGTGGTCTAAATAAACCAATTAAAAGAGTGGATGAAAAAACAGGACCCAACTATATGTTGTCTACAACAAATCCACTTTAAATATAAAAATACATATAGATTAAAAGTAAAGGGATGGAAAAAGATGTACAACTTTAACA